TCATTTATTTATTTGCTTATTTATATATGTGAAATAAGGTATTATGATTATTTCCATCATTTATATCATTCAAATTTTTATCCTCATCTTCATTGCCATATTCACAATGTTTTGGCCATTGTACACTCCGGCCATCTTCAGGTGAATGGAATGCCCAGTAGATAAAGACGTTGGTTAGATCCAGTGACTAGACACAAAGATTTGTGAGTTCAATAACTGGCCACAACAGTGGTGAACTAAAAACTTGGAGTGTTGAGTTAAAGGGAAATAATTGAGACACCTGGAAGAGGCATGGCACGTGGAACTAGAATAATCTGCCCTGGTGGGTGAAATAAAGGATTTGGTTCAAAATTCCAATCACCTGAAGAAGGCATGAACGTACAACTGTTGTAAACATTGTGAAAATATCAATGAAGATGAGGATAACAGTCTGAATAATGTAAATTTATTTGCTTATTTATAATTTATGTATTTTAGAGAAGAGTATTCTATAATTAACAATTAGTTCTTCACATTAAAATTTTTGACAATTTGGTTGAAAACCAGATTTAGCATAGGAAAGAAATTAAGTATAGAACAACCTGTGCAAGTACATTTTTTTTTCTTTTTCAAACACTGCAGGGTACTACAAAACCAAATACTAACCTAAGAACTTGAGCAACATATAAGATAATGCATTAGTAGTATTAGTTATAATAGTAATTAATTTTTTTTTAATTGAATTTACCTAAAGCAAGGCAGTAAAGCCAGTAAAACACAAGGGGTTTACTGGGTTCAGAAGAACGAGAAAAGAGAAGGAGTGAGAAAAATAGAAGAGTAATGAAGAAGAGAGTAGATAATGATTGACATAACATTTAAATTTTTGAAAATTAAAGTTAACTGAAAAGCATGGATCCAGAAGAGAGTTCCACAAGCAAGAAGTGTGAGAAAAGAAATTGTTAACATAGAACTTACAGTTACATATAGCCACCCATCGATTCTTTCATCCATTCACACAAACTTGACAGGCTCATGACCTTCTGCAATCTTTCTTGCCTCCAATTATAAAACATTATTTTTACTACTTTAAAAATGCTAGCCTTGAATAGGTTATTTTTTAGTACACGTTCTTTTTAGAGAAGTGTATTATGATGAAGGCCAGACAGTTTGTGTAAAAAAATTGTTACATCTTTTTTATGAGTATCAGATTCTCCAGGCCCTCCTTTCTCAGTACATGTCCCAGAAATTCCATTTGCCTCTTACTTATGTTAGGAATAAGCTTCCTCCTTGTTTGCATCCTCTCCAAAACCTCATTGTTGCTCTCATACTCAGCCCATGATATACTTAGTATGCTTCTGTAGAACCATAACTCCATTGCCTTGAGTCTCTTCTTCATCCTTGAAGAGAGCATCCAACATTCACTGTAAGGGAGAACAGATGTCACGTATCAGATCAGTACTCTTTTCTTTGTTACCAAAGAAATCCTCCTGCATATCTTATGTTGGTAAGATTGTGGCCGCTGATGCTGAATCCTGGTAGGATCTCCAATTCTTTCAGAATTGTCTCCCTGTATAGGTTGAATAAGTCTGGTGAGAAGACACATCCTTGCCTTATACCCCTTTCTATTTTTTTATATTTGCTGAATTTATTCCCAATTTGCATGCATGTTATTTGCTGCCAGTATAGGTTTTTGATTATTCTAATATCTTTCCTGAATACATCAAGGTTGCTGAGCAGTTCCAGTAGATCCTAGTGGAGCACTTTGTTGAAAGCCTTGCATGGTCTATGAAACATAGATACATGTCCTTCTACAATTGTATTGCTTTTTCTGATATAACATTCTAAGCATGAATATCATGTTCCTTGTTCCAGCGTCTTTAATGAACCTGTACTGTTCTTGTTCTATCTCTGACTCGATTATGCTGCACGCTATATTCATCAGAATATGAATGATGAGTTTTGTTATATGGCTCATTAGGTTGATTGTTTGGTGGAGCTTGCATTCATTTGCACTTGGTTTTGTAGGTAGTGCTATAAAAATAGATCTGCTGAGATCTTCTTGTATGTCTCCATTATGTTTGAACTTTAAAATTTTGCACAATGGTTGAGTTTTATTTTATGATTTGTGCTTATTATGACTTACTATTTTGACTAAATTTTCTTTTGATATGCTCCATAAGTTTTCCAAACTCTATTTCTCCATTATGTGTCCAAGGAATTTCAATTTTATCTTCCTGCTTTTGAGTATATTTTTTTTCCATTGCCATTTTCTTTAAGACTTCCTTGTTAATTACCACTGGTACCTTCAGTTTTCTTTCCATCTTCACTGCCATATAAGCTGACAGATATTGCATCACTCTTTTCTTTGTTTCTTATGAATTTTTTTCTGTTTCTCAGTACCTTGCATAGCTTTTGGAATGCTTCTTTTACTTGTTCAATCTGGGTTTGGCCCTCAGAGCCGCATAGTCTATCCTCTGTTATATCACTTCCCAGGTACTTAAACTTCTGCCTCTGCTTGAGATTGACATCTCTAATTTAACCCAATCTGGCCATCAAAAAATCTAGAGATGAAGTGAGCTGTTTGGTGCAGGATCAAGTCTATCAAAGAAATTTTCAGAAAAATCAAGGTTATCAAAAAATCTTTTCAGAAATATCAATTCTATCAAAAAAGCTTTCCACAAAAATACAGGATGACCCAAAAACATGGGAATTTTTGAAGTGTGTATTGCCAGACATGAGCAAGTGGCAACACTGCGAGACAATGACCTTGAGCAAGTAAACATTTCGCAATTTAGAATTCAAGATGAAATTCACAGTATCCCAGCTGAGATGTTGCAGTAGACAATGAGGAATCTCAACAGCAGATTTCAAGAATGCATCCGTACAGGACGACACCATTTACAGAACGTAATTTAAAAAAAATGAAAATTCCATCTTTGTTTCTTAAATGAATGTTTTAAGGTTTCAATTACTATGAATAAAATATTTTTCTTCCATCACTCTTGGTTTTATTGGATTGTTAAAAAGTTCCCGTTTTTTTGGGGTCACCCTGTACTTTATTGAAAGCAAAAATCCAAGTTGTGGTTTATTATTACAATATCCAGTTACAAACTTTCTTGTGCCAAAATCCCTAACAGAAGATTGGTTTAATATTAATTGTCCTTAGGTGAGACATTTGTGGTGTCATGCAAACACTGCTAACCAGTTTGTAATTAATCAAATAGATCAATTTCAGTCATAAATTAGTCTTTGATTTCATTCTTGTTTGCTCAGTTCTTAGAGCAATCCTCATCAGAAGATACAGAGATCAAAGACTTGGACAAAAGTGACAAGAATAATAATAAACTTTCATTCTGCATTGCCAAATTATCTACCCTTATATCAAATTAAATTGCCTATTAAACCAACAGTCATTCTGAGATCCCCCCCCATATATATATATATATATATATATATATATATATATATATATATATATATATATATATAGCTTGTGTTTGGGTGCATTTTAATTATATCTGAAGGCAGACTGTTGCTAAACTGTCAGGATTATGTGTTCTCCAAAATAGGCAAACCTCGAGAAGTAAAATAGCTGTAACATTGATACATATTTAACTTTTTCATCTGTTTATGTCCGGGGGTCCTAAAGAGGGGAATGCAAAAAATGAGGGAGAACCAATAAATCCTTAACTAAAGATATTAACTTAATGTTAATCTGAAATTTTTGCTGTATAAGGTTCGATCTTCTTTCTTTTCTTTTTATGTGCCATGTTCTTTCAGGATGTAGGCGATCATGGCTCTCCACTTCCCCCTATCTCTTGTGGCTCTCAATAAGTTTTGTGCCTCTGCCAACTCCCCCAGACCATATCCTGCCATCCACTTGCTTAAGCCCCCCCCCAGGTATGTAATGCATTGCTTTCCTTGTCTCTTTTTTCCCTCTATTTGACCTGTGAGTATCAGATTCTCCAGGCCCTTCTTTCTCATTATATGTCATGTTATTAATAAGCATCACTGAATTTAGTGCACTTTCAAAGGAGAAGATTATATTAGAAGATAAATTTTTTCTATGCAAAATATATACATTTTTCATCATTAAGCTACGTACTTATCGACATACTTATGTCAGCAAATTCTAAGACACATATAAGAGGATTTTCTCTGCAACCCATTCACAATCAAAACTGTTTGTCTCAAGCTGTCTCATTTCAGATATTTTACATTTGATGTAAAGTAATACTCAGATAAATAAAAATGAATTTAATATATCCCTTCAGGATATAGGCAATCATGACCGCTGATTTTTCTTTATCTGAGATAAACTGATTGCTGTCAATGCTGCTATTTAACCTACGGATGGGGAGAGAAGAAAAAGATTCATGTCTTTCCAAGGTGTATTTCTGCTTGCTGATATTAATTTCTGTACCAATTTTAAGAAAGAAAATTAAGGAATTGTATCTATTTCAGTTGGAATTTCAGAATAGAGTTATATTGTTTATTATGAGTGCATTCAGATTCTTCTACTTCTATGTACGATGTGCCTTCAGGATGTGGGCGATCATGGTTCTCCACAACTTCCAGTCCTTTGTAGCTATTAACAGTGTTTGTCTTTTTGGTATCTCTACTAATCCCTGTTCTGACAACCATTTACACAAGCTTGTTAGTTTGTTCATTTCTTGTTTTGTTGTGACACTTGTTTTCAGCATGTCCTGTGAGTGTTAAATTTTCCAAGCACTCTTTCTCTATTATGTGCCTCAGACATCTCTGTTTTCTCTTTCTGATTTCAACTTAGTATCCTCATTTTAGTTGTGTTTATCACAATGTTTTACCCAGTGTACTCTGTTTTTCTAAATGTATGTTACCTAATCATCTTCAGCAGATTTTTATATGGCATCCTTTATTTTCTTCGGAAATATATTCTTTTTGTCACATCCCATATTTTTTGTTGGTACTGTAAGGTTGTATAACATAGTAGCTGATACTCAAGTACATAGTCCCACTAACTGAATATGGACAGCTAACAACTATAATACCAGTTCTCATGCAACCACTGAAGTTAAGAAACGTTGAGCCTAGTCAGTACTTAGATGGGTGACAACTTAGAAATACTGGGTGTTGTAAGCTTGGATGTGTGGGTAGTAATAGATAATGGCATATTATTGGAATTCAGAAAGCTGAGTCTCACAGTTGGGTTTGTTATATTCGCTTATGTGCAAATACCCTTGGGAATGGTATAAATCCACCTCTTCTCCCCCCCAGCTATGGGTTAATTAGTAGGCTTTGTATCAGTAAATCATTATTATCTCCAAAAAGGTTTTTATATGCTAAAAATAGATTATGGCTTTAAATAAACCACAAAAGGTTGATAAGCTGTAAAAATAAATCAATCAGCCAATTAATCTGAATATGGACAACTCTTTTATAGTCTCCAACTTTCCCATATTTTAAATAGACTATCACTACAGCAGGAATTATTGAAAGTTAAAGGTATTGTTATTTGAGTAAATTAGCTTTATTGAAAATAAAAGTTATTAAAAAGAGCCACTCTTTATTTAAGATTTTTTTTTTTACAGTCAGGTTCACTCAGTACAAGGCTCAGAGGGTACTTGAAGGAAAGGGTTATGTTATGTGGTAGTTTATACAGATAGGAGGGGAAGATAATTGTTAGCTCTAAACTTGAACAGGTTATGATTGTTAAGATGTTGCAAAAGTGACATTAAATCTCAGAAAAGTATGGGTGACACAAATTTATTACACATGTAGAATACTTGAAATAGCAATCAAGTACGACTTCTCACTTAGTGACAAGCCATTTAGCAACCTGGGCTTTGGAACACAACCTCATTGTTAAGTGAATTGGGACTGTACAGAAATTATTGCTTATTTGGCTGTTACTATTCTTTCCTTCTAGCAAATGGATTGCACTTCCCTTTCTATAACAGTCAACCGTTTCTCATCTATAATCATGATTTATCTTTTCTGACAGCACAGTTTAATTTGTTTTTCATTAACTTTACCTTGACACTGACTGTTGGGTCACACTAACTTTATATGATAAAGCAAATGTTCAAAATGTGAAACTTCTAAAGCATGTTTAGAGAGAGATTTATATTTTACTTGGTAAATTAATTTCATCATTTCTATCCATTTTTTACTAAATGTATATATATATATATATATATATATATATTTTTTTTAAGCATTTCACTTCAAGCAAGGCAGGAAGCCACTAGGACGCAAGGGATTACAGAAAATATAGAGCGAGATCAGATAGGAGTGATAGAAGAGGGTATGAGGAGAAGGGTAGTGGATAGATCAAGGCAGGCAACTGGAGATTATAGCTCTCAGGGAAACTGGAATAGGGAAGGGAGTTCCACAGGCGAGAGGTGCGAGACATGAAGCTATTAGAGTAGAAGAGACGGCTACATTTAGGGGTTTTGACAGTGAAGGTGTGCGCACTGGATGCCAGCCTTATAGGGCGCTTGAACTCATGAAGTCTGGGAACCAGTGAATGCAGCTCCTCGGAGCAATTACCATGAAAGTATTTGTAGAACAGAGAGAGAGAGGCGACATCACGTCTGTGAGAAAATATATATATATATATATATATATATATACACACACACACACACACACACACACACATATATATATATATATATATATATATATATATATACACATACATATATATATATATATATATATATATATATATATATATACACACACACACATATACAGATATACAGGGTGTGATGTATAAATAATTTGGTGGTTTGCAGTCAGGGGAGTTAGGTGGCCAGATATAAGGGTCATGTGGTCGCAGAAATAGCTTGACAGCCATGACTGGGTTCTTTTGCTTGTGCAGTATGGTGCAGAGTCCTGTTGTCAGACATAGGGCCTTCCAGCAACCACCCTCTTGACCCAGGGCAGCACTATCTCCTCAAGGCTCTTGATATAGGCCACTGTGTTGAGTCCCTCACCAGCAAATTCAGGAGTTCTTTTCTAATGAGATTGATTAGAGTGAGTTTTCTAAGCTGCCTTCATAATCTCCATTAGCCTCTACAACACTTTTTGAAGATGATGGGATTATGCACATATCACTCAGTACAGCCTCAGTTCTAGGGAGGAAATCAGTTGTGGGTACTCCAGATGAGTCGAGTGTTGATTTGGAAGAGAATTTCCGAATAAAGCATTCCACCTTATCTGCTGTAGATGACAGGACTTCAAATTGGTTGAATAGAAGAGGGATTGAGGATTTGCCATTGTTCAGCACACACTTGCATAGCTGTCAATAATTTTTTAAACAAAACTTGGGAGATACTATAAGTTGTTTCATTCTATCAGCAAACAGTAACTTTACTTGATTGAGAACAAGCTTGCACCCATTATGAGCAGAGACAAAGAGATGCAGGCATGCCCCTCTGGTACAGACGGAAGAAGTGATTCCTGTGGGCTATAGCAACTGAGCGTGCAAGTGAGAACCAAGAAAATGAACGCTGTTTTACTTGGTACTTCCTTGCTGTAATGCACATTTTTGAACAGTATGTTTTAAAATTTCTTTCTGTGTGATGTCATGAAGAAAATCATGGAATGAGTCCCAATCTGCTTGTTAATAACAGAAGGATATTCTATTGGTAGGAGGTTCTTGGCTGGTGGTGGGAGCAGAAAGAAATGTTTATGGACACTACTGCATGTTCTGTGTTGCCAAGAGGGCAGAGCTTTGTAGTACGACAAGAGTCAGTGATAGAGTAGTAGAGGTTGGTCATCTAATGTAACATGTGCAGGAAGGGAACTGGTGCAGAGTGCAGCATAATGTGGTTTTCCCACCAGAGGTACTTGCAGGGACACCCTTTTATGTGTGATATGGCACTACAAGAACTTCAATATTTTACAACAGTTGTTCGGAGCAGCCTCTCAAGACACTATGCAAGAGTTTGGGTTCCAAACTTACAGTCGGGAACAGCAACCACAAAACTACCAACTTGGTACCTTGAGTATGAAGAGAAATTGCCACTATTCATGCATATCACAAAAACTTCATGATAGCAGTACTATTAAGGCCTGAGGAAAAAAAAAGGAACCAGTAACCCCTTCCTAAGCAAGACACAAGGGATGAGCCTCTATTCCTGTTCAAGAGAAGCGGGAAGATTATGGACTGGGTGATAGAAAAGCCTATCTACTATTGAAAAAAAAACAAAAAACAATTCAAAATTATTCAAAGAATCAGCTTTTTTTCAGATAGATTATTCTTTGGAGAGTCAAGGTGCATACCCCAATCCAAATATTTATGCATACCTATGTGCCAAGGGGGTTTGAAAGAAAAAGAATAGAGTATAAAATACAGTAATTAAGTTTTAACTTAGTATAAGTCTGAAATCCAACTCTTTCAAACTGTGTTGGCAAATCTCCAGTTAGTAGCTTCATTAAATGCCATGAATCAAATTAATATTGCATTAACATGATTTAGTATGAAAGTACACTTTATATATATATATATATAATATATATATATATAAAAGAAAATATATATATAAATATTATAGAAAAATAAATAAATGTTCAAGACACACACACATATATATATATATATATACAAGAATGCACACAAATGTGTGTGTGTATATATATATATATATATATATATATATATATATATATATGGTTTACCATTATATATATATATATATATATCCATATATTTGTTATATATATATATATATATATATATATATATATATATATTTGCAATCCATTGTTCTTATATATTAAATATATATATAAACATGCATATATATATGTATATACTTTCGGGTTTGCATATATATATATATATATATATATATATATATATATATATATATGGTTTAACCATTATATATATATATATATATATATATATATATATTATAAATTAATTGATTTAAAATATGGTTATTTTTACACACCATATATATATATATATATATTATTCTATTTCATATATATATATATATATATATACTTATATGGTTTTTGCGACCATTTATATATATATATATATATATATATATATATATGAGTGAAATTCACCTATGTTTATTGTATAAGTATATCCTGAATGTTTTACCAACATCAGTTGGTTCATAACAAGTGTTAAAACTGAATTGCATAATAAAATCTTACATTGTATAATCATCGTATTAAATGTAATAAATGTATATGATACTGAAATAGCTTCATATAAGTTATATTCCTGTCTGTAAAAATTTTATCAGTTTAGTCACATGAAATATTACCAGTCATAAGGTTTTCTATAGATAGAGTATTGTTTGAAATGAGAAATTATCATTATTCTATAACTAATTCAGAATTGTATCATCATAGCATAAATTTGGTTGTTTTCATTGCTTGAAATTCTGATATCAACCATTATCATTATTTTATAATTAATTCAGCCTAGTATCTTTATACTGTGTTTTTGCTCCCTTTCTTTGAAATTCTGAAATTAACAATATTTTAAACAGTTTTTTAAAAAGGTGCAAGGGATATCATAGCTAACTTTAAACAATTTCATAGTGCTGATTTTCAATTATCATAGTAATTTTTTTTAATTTTCACACTATGACCATAGTCATTTTTCTCCAATTCTCTTGCTTCAGATGGTTGAGAAGCAAAACATGAACAATCATGGTAAGAGCTTTTTTGATTTTCCTGGATGATCCAGTTTTATCTCTCTTCAGGCTCCAGTAGTAATCTGCTGTCATTATTTTATCCAATCTCCCTTGATATTTGCCCTCCATGACTTTTATGTCCTAATAAAACATTCTCCTTGTTCATCACTTATATTGCCATAGTTTTTTCTGGAAACCTATCGAAATGATTATGCAGGAAATGTAGTTTGATTCTCATATTATTAGCACCAAGCAACCAGTAGTTTGCTAACATCCTGTTCCCTATAGTTGTCTGTGTTGTGATTACCATGAAAGTTTTCTATTACAGCAACAAGTGAAATCATTCATTAACATTCATAGAAAATGACACCGTTGTCATCCTTGATGAGTTTTCAAAAATCAGATCCATCAAAAAGAACTTGTTTAAGTTTTTCTATCCTGAAAATATGAAAAATGTGGTTCATTT